ATTTTTTTTTTGTCTTAAAAATCTAGGCCCCTCATTGATGCATCATCATAATGGACCAGTGTCCGTCATTTACATCACAGTTCACACTTGGTGGTGCAGAAACCTGAAGATAGACTGACATTTGATAGAGAAGCAGAGACTGTCCATCACAGTAAAGATGGTCTCTTCAAACCAGGCGTCCAGATGCCAGAAACCGGGTGTAGTCGCAGACCTTACAGTCGTCACAGAAATTAGCTCAAATGGGTCATAGACCCACGTGTGAACTGTAAAACTGCAGATCTCCTAGAAGGGAGCATTCTGGATGACCGGCAGGGGCTTCTTAGATACGACGCCAAAGCACAGTCTGTGGTAGGGTGGACGTCACGAGAGTAGCATCCCCATGCTACAAACGTCTCCCATCAGGAGAACGAAGAGGCCGGCTACTGACGTGGAGAAAACACTCCCCACGTGTCTTTCTAATCATCTTGTTTTGCCTGAAGTTTGCATCTAAACTAGAATAGTTCAGGTTCCAGGAATTCTCAGAAAATAATCATTTTCAGTGGAAGCAACCTGCTTCTCAGTGGGGTTGTTTAGTCAGTGGAAGCGTCTGTAGCCGTTGCCAAGAAATCGGTGCTGGTTAGTAAAGGAAACAATTAATGGACATCTGTTGGGCTGAGCAAGGAAAGGGCGAAGAGGAAATCCATGAGTCGGGTTTCTTGTTTGTCCTCTGTGATCGGGTCTTGTTGATTTTTTTCTTAATGTTGACTTGATCCTGTTGGTGGGCGTGAGGAGAGAGGCGCACTGTACTTGGTTCTCACGAGCGTGTGTGCAGGTCTCTCATTCTCTAGCCTTGAATCCACGCGGGGGACCCCGGTCATTTCATGTGGGAGGGGTTCTGCTCAAGCAGATGGCGAATCCGGATGGATGTTCTTGAGAAAGCTAGTCGTGGCTGTTCCGTATTTAATTTTCTGCATTTTGGATCTCCTTACGATAGTATTTACAAAGTAAAACCTTTGGAACGATACAGAAATGATAAATTGTCCTCATCAAGAGGAATGTCATAAGGTTTTACCAGCCCGTTGATTCCCTAAGTTACTGGCTCAGATGTCCCCAAACGTGTTTGGAACCCGGTGCTGAAATGTGAGAATCCTTGGTGAGAAGCTGCGGCTGCATAAATGTGAGCCTCAATAAAAATCCTGTGGGGAGATCTAATGAGGTTGTACAGTCTTTTTAAATATTTTATTTGTTTATTCACGATAGACATAGAGAGGCAGAAACACAGGCAGAGGGAGAAGCAGGCTCCATGCAGGGAGCCCGACGTGGGACTCGATCCCGGGACCCCAGGATCGTGCCCTGGGCCAAAGGCAGGCGTCAAACCGCTGAGCACCCCCAGGGATCCCTGAGGTTGTACAGTTAACCCTGAGTCCGGAACAGGTGGAATAACATCTGTTCACGGAGGAGCGGACACGTGCTTCCTGGTGGGTAACTGATGGATGAGGGGCATCGTGTGCCGGCCTGTTGGACCTTGGGCTGTTGCCTGGAATGTGATCCCATATTCGCTCTCAGTTTGGCCCTGAGATTGTTCTTCTAATGTCCGCTTAGCAGAGGTAACTTCCTGTCATGTTTGTCCCTCCTTCGTGCTGGAGTTAACACATCGGCTACCCAGGACTCTAACTCACAGTAGCCGCGGGTGTGCGTGTGCTGAAGGGGGAGGTCTGGAGGCTGTGGTGCAAGGGGCTGACAGTGAGACGGTGCCCACGATCGCAAGACGAAACCTCAGTGTGCGTCAGGGGGCCATGTGGGAGAGCCTTGTGTGAGTGTCCACGTCCCCGGGACTGCCCACCACTGGGGAGAGGCGCTCAGCACAGAGCATAGTGCCTCATGGCCCCAGGGAATTGTCTCCAGGAACGGCCCGTGGGACCTCTGGGTCTACACAGGGTGGCATCGTTTGGCCCCTGGACATAGGGGTGCAGCCAGGGGGATGTTTGGCTTGTTTCAGCCCCCAAGTGTGTAATTCTTAGAAGGTTACTTTGAAAATAACACAGTATGCTTCAAGGGTGAGGACAAAATAAGACATCCCAGCTTCCTACATCAGATAGAAACAGATTTTAAGGACCTTGGTCCTAGGGACACCTGGGTGGCTCAGCGGGTGAGCGTCTGCCTTCGGGTCAGGGCGTGACCCTGGGGTCCCAGGATCAAGTCCCGCGTCGGGCTCCTCACATGGAGCCTGCTTCTCCCTCTGCCTGTGTCTCTGCCTTGCTCTCCATCTTTCATGAATAAATACATAAAGTTTTAAAGAAAAAAAAAGGACCTAGGTTCTGGATATAAGAACTTCTGGATGAAAGTTTCTTTTCACAAACTGCGAACTCCAGGCTACATTCATCCTCAAAGGTTGTCTGGTGTGATGCCGCTTGCAGCAGTGGCCGCAGACAGCTCACAGGCAGCGTGGGAAGAGGAGTCGGGACTTTGGGACCCGGACAGACTTGTTGTGCTCGCTTGCCTTTGAACGATCTTAGTAGAAAGTGATCTTTAATGACCAAAGTTCATTTCTCAAGGACAAATCTTAGGGGAAAACTGGCAGAGTTTTGGTCTTGGGAATGGGATCTTCCCTGATTTTGATGCATTGACCATCAGGTATGTTGCTGGGCTTCTCTGGGGGCCCCGCTGGAGCATGCTGCTCTGGGGGCAGCAGGATTTCAAAGGAAATTCGAAAGTTGTGGGTACGACCATCCTTTCTGCCCATTACTGGGAACAGCAGTGCATCCTCAGAGCTCTTCAGCTCTCCTCCCAGCTTGACTCAGACCGGTTCTGATTCGCTTCTCAGTTCAGGATAGTCCCTTAAGCAGCCCCGGTGGTGCAGCGGTTTAGCGCCGCCTGCAGCCCAGGGCGTGATCCTGGAGACCCTGGATCAAATCCCATGTCGGGCTCTCTGCATGGTGCCTGCTTCTCCCTCTGCCTGTGTCTCTGCCTCTCTCTGTGTCTCTCTATGCATCTCTATGAATAAATAAAAATCTTAAAAAAAAAAAAGGATAGTCCCATAGACTGTTCTCAGACTTCCTTACTCTGAAGGATTAAATAAAATCCATACTTTCTTGTTCGGAGACTACCACTTAAAAGTCAGCTCCCCCGTGATTATCAGATACCTTCCTTGAGTAACACTTAGGTTTTCTCCACACACACTGGTTGTCAATTGTCTGGATTGTGACCAATAGCAGAGAGGACCTCGGTTCTGAGTATAAGAACTTGTGGTCTGGAGAAGGGATGTATGGTGGGGTGTTTCCAGGCAAGGGGCTTGGTGTGTGTGTCACATTCTGCAGAGACGAGCAAGGGTGTCCTGGAAGCAGACACGTGGGGCAGAGACATGCCCCTCGCCCCCCCCCCCCCCCCGCCGCACAGCCCGTGCCCACGCTCTGCTGCGTGCACTTGCTTCTCTGCACTAGCCTCAGGTCAGACTAAGGTGGTTATGTGTCCTGCTGTCTTCCTCTACACACGTGTCTTGGATGTGAGTTTTGTGGAATCCATCTTGAGAACCCAAGTGAGAAGACATCTGCCAGCAAACCCCTTTCATTAGTCTAAAAATACTGTATTCTTCCTAAAACATTCCAAATTGGGGGCATATGACCCCTGGAAAGCAGATGTCTATCATTTTAAACACAAGGCAGGAGCCTCTGAAAGCCGTCAGGACTGGCATTAGCAGAAGGGTGCATAGGGGTGCAGGGGGTCACACCTGTGAAGGTGCACAGCAGCTCACCAGTCATGGCGGGGCCTGAGCCCTCACGGGGCGTCACAGCCAGATCCTTCCTTGAGGGACATCTGAGGGCTGCAAAGTGATGGGCTGAGGCACTTTCTGACGCAAAAGCAGCATCTTTAAGTGGTGTTTATCATAACGTGCCCCAAGAGCCAGTGAGTTGCTTGCTAAAGTTCCCGCGTGTGATTTCCCCTTGCCCAGCCAGCACCCTGAGCAGTGGAAGGAAGGGCGGGACCAAGCTCCCACTCTCCCCTCCCCAGAGGAAGTACTTTCATTTAAGAGGAGAAATTGGTTTACATGGACTTGAGTTACGCACGAAGGTAACAGCCTTGAGATGCTTGAGCATATTTAATACAGCATGTGTGGGGATCCCTGGGTGGCGCAGCAGTTTGGCACCTGCCTTTGGCCTGGCGTGATCCTGGAGACCTGGGATCAAATCCCACGTCGGGCTCCCGGTGCATGGAGCCTGCTTCTCCCTCTGCCTGTGTCTCTGCCTCTTTCTCTGTGTGTGTGACTATCATAAATAAATAAAAAAAATATTTAAAAAAAAATACAGCATGTGTGTAAATAGTGCGTCAAGTACGATGTTGTCTTTTACTTCTGTTCCTTCATAGGTGATCAGATTAACTGCCTCTCCTGGCTTATACATTAGCTTAAAGCAGCGAAGCAAAAGCAGCAGCAGGGCATTACCAGGTCTCACCACAACACGTGTGTGCGTGTGCACAGCTCTAGCAGCGAACTACCATTGGAGGACTTTCACACGTGGTTTAAATGCGTAGGAGTTTAAGATTCTTCCTTTAGTGATGCAGTAAAAGCCAATTATTTAAAAAAAAAATAAAGGGCAGGGCGCCTGGCTGGCTCAGTCGGTGGAGCATGCAACTCATCTCAGGGTCGTGAGGTCGAGCCCCGTGGCTGGTGTAGCAGTTACATTAAAAAAAAAAAAAAAACAGACAAAGGACTTGGTTAGACATTCCTCTGAAGAACACGTACATCTTTATAAATGCATCCCTGTGCTCCCCACATTTGCAAATACAGCAGCTTTGAGAGACCCCTGACGGCCTCACAGAGCTGGAGGGTTCAGATGCGGCCCAAACACGCAGCCGTGGAACAAGACCCTGTGGTTGTCTTGGGTTTTGCAGAAGGTTTTCGTGAACACACATTGATTTTGTATTTGTGAACCTGGGGGGCTCCCACCAGTGGGCAGCAGGCATTTCCGAGGCTCAGGGGAGTCCCACGGCCCCGGCCTCACACGGCCCCTCCCGTCTCTCTGCAGCGTGTACTCCGGCCACCAGTCCATCCTCATTCCGCCTTCCGAGCTGGAAACCAACCCTGCCTTGTGGCTTCTTGCCGTGAGCCAGTACAAAGTCCGGGACACGTTCTGCTCCTACTCAGTGATGGAGCTGTGTACCAAGGGGCTGGGCTCGCAGACGGAATCCCTCAAGGTAAGCCGCGACCAGGACCTCGGGGCACCCGGGGAGCACGCGGCCGGGCGGGGGGGGGGGGGGCACGCGGCCCAGGGCGTGGGAGGGGCTCCCATGGTTAAAGTCCTTACAAGAGTTGAGGGATAGTCTGCTATCGCCTGGAGCTCACAAAACTGATTTCAAGTGAAAACTTGATTTTATAAGGTGAATAATTGCCCACAAGGGTGACAGGTCGGGGTGTGCTCCCGATGCCCATGATTCCCTCGCCTGCCCTCAAAAGCTTGCTCTTCTGTTGGTGAATTCACTTGTTCAGTGAGGCTCCTTCGACTCTGATGTTGGTGTTCAAGTCATAGGCTTGATTTTAGCCTCTCATTTTTGTTTTCCTTGAAGGACCCCGATTTGTAGGTATGCATTCTACAAGGTATTAACACTTCCTCCATTTAAACCAGTAACATTTTGATCACCGTGTTTTCATGGTGAAGAGTCCTTATCCAGGGAAGGAGCGGGCAGTAATCCTATCGCCTGTCGCAGCGTACGTTCTGGCTACTGTCCATTGTTTGCACACCCAGACATATGTCTCTGTGTATATGCAGATGACATGTGCGTAGATGAGCGTGTAGACGCATGCACAAATATTCCACGTACATACAGATACTCGTGTGCTATGCTTACCTCCTGAAGTTTCTCCTATTTAGACCTAGTGCATTAAGCTTGAACAAGAAAATAAGATAATGTGAAAGCCACGTAAATCTATGATTACATGAAATTATAAACACATATAGGAAAAGAAACATATAAGATGTAATTACTACTTGTACCCACCTATATTATTTCATAAAATGAGTATATTTCACAAATAACAATGTGATCAAGTGCTTTCTTAGCAGCTGACGTGTTGATTCATGTAACCTTTACAACAGGCGTCTGGCGTAGAAACCACTGTTCTTAGAGATGAAGACTCTCAAGTTACAGAGAAATTCAGCACCCTTTCCTGGTCCTTACACTTACTAAATTCTGGAGCCAAACTTAGAATCTCTGGCTCCAGGCACCTCATCTGCAGACCCAGGCCACACTGCCTCCTAAACACACAGACATGCAAGTGGAGCCTTGGTGCCACCAAGTGATGCTCTGAGTCACATTGTGCAGGGTCTCTGCGAGTCTGAGGCCCCCTGGCTGTGTGTCCCTGTACCGCGTAGAAGCCAGTGTCCGTCCCCAGAGCCCAGGCCACGGTGGAGGGGGCCGGAAGGGCAGATGGTCCAGCCAGTGCCCATCTCCGGAGCCCAGGCCACGGTGCAGGGGCCCAGGAGGGTAGACAGTCCAGCCAGTGTCCATCCCCGGAGCCCAGGCCACGGTACAGGAGGCCGGAAGGGCAGACAGTCCAGCCAGTGTCCATCCCCAGAGCCCAGGCCACGGTGCAGGGGGCCAGGGGAACAGATGCTGCAGCCAGTGTCCATCCCTGGAGACCCCTGCTCGCTGCCCACCCAGCCCCCTGCTTCACAGACTCTGGTGCTCAGCTCACCGAGGTCCCTCTCTGAGGTTTGCCCTTCTCTCTGCTGACCCAACGTGGTGCGCACCCTGGGGTATACTCGGTCACGCACAGCCATCAGAGCTGGCCGTGGGCTCTCCAGTCTCGTGGGACTTGGGAGGCGTCCTGTGTTTACTTTTCCGCTCTGTGTTAGAAGCAGGTCCTCGTTTCCGGCCAGCATGTGCCCATGTTGGTAGCGGTGTCTACAGAAGCTTCCTTGCTTCCCCAGACCTTGTCCTATATTTTATCCAGGACCTTGCTCCTCCTCACTGCTGAGTCCTGCTGTTACCTTAGATGGGTTTGTAGGGGCCCCTCGGTCCCCTGGAACCTGTAGGGTTTTTTCCACACAGATGTCTTGGGAAACTTTAATGCCATGGGGACACACAGCCCTAGGGATGAATGTCTGGGTAGCACGTGTGCTGCTCGTACCCGTCGGGTTGAGGAGGTCACACGCTTGGGCGCTGGAAGGCTGCCACCTTACCGCTGTCGTTCTCTCCAGGCCCGGGGACTGGACCTGTCCCGCGTGCGCACGTGTGTGGTGGTGGCGGAAGAGCGGCCTCGGATAGCGCTCACCCAGTCGTTCTCCAAGCTCTTTAAGGACCTGGGTCTCCACCCACGGGCCGTGAGCACGTCCTTCGGCTGCAGGGTGAACCTGGCGATTTGCTTGCAGGTGGGTGTCACGGGGATCTAGGTGTGTGCCCGTCAGAGTGACTTTTCAGTGACAGGCACTCGGCACAGCCAGTGTCATTTCTGTGGCTGATGCTCGGCTATGCTCACGGGATACCTGATGATCCAATGCATGTGACTGGTCACACTTCTCTGGTGGGTTTTGTTCTCTTTTTCTTCATTTATTTTCAGTCTGTGTTTGTCTATGACCAGCACTCATGGTGCACAGAGTTCTTGGTCTGTGCTGAAACGTTTTAACATGAGTAGCAGTTGGCGCAGACCCCAAGTCAGGCTTTTTAGAGCTTCTGCACTGGACAAACGTTTCATGTTGGCAAGAAGCATAGACAGCGTCTTGTGTAGGCAGCAGGCCCAGTGCACCAGCCGGCCCCGGAATTCACTGCTGTGCTCAGTCTAGAAATAGTGGCTGCAGGTGGCGTCTGTGGGGCCCAGCGGTGAGGTGGCCATGGTGGCCGTGGCTGGAAACGCTCCCTTCATTGGCCCCTCGTGACCATCTTCACTAACCTTTCTTTCAAACCCTTTCCACCGGCACCCCGATCCATGGCAGACGCTGTCTGGGAGGACGGACGGGGCCATCCCCATGTGCCCTCCCCAGCCACACGCAGCAGGCCGCCCAGGGCACAGCTACAGACTTCCTCCAACAAAGTGACAGGAAAAAACGCCACTCACAGCAGGTGATGGAACCGAGCACAACCAACAGGTCGCCTCCCAATCTCTGTCCTGCCCACCTGCTGTCCCCCACCCCCACCCCCCGCCTTTTCTGACCCCAGAAGTAGATGCTCACTATTACCCTGTGCGTGACCCTGGGAAGCACCCAGGCAGCCCTGTCCTCACTGGCGTTCCAGGCCCCGGGACTTGCCGCCAACCTGGGCGGAGAAGGAACTTCCAGAAGTGACCCATCTGATGAGGTTGTGTGAGAAACGTCATCTATAGAAGGGGTTTATCTCGGTTTTTTTTATTTTCAAAATTTCTGCTACATCCAAAGTGATGTCACTATCCTGGGCCATGACGCTATTTTCCAAACTTGGCCTTATCTTTAATCAATATTGTACATTTTAGTTTTTTCACTTGTTTAATTTATTCTTAACTCATTTATACCCAGTTTCGTTTTTCTGAATGATTAGCATTTGAAACTAGCTAGAAACGTCCATGTGTCTGAGGGTACAGATAAAGTACACCATGATACCGGCGTGCAGGCTCCAGCTGCTGGCTAGGATGACGGGACCAGGGGTGAGGCAAAGGTCAGGAACTTTCTGGCTTGGAGGGGGCAGTGAACAGCTCCAGGGGCCTCAGCAGCTCCAGGGGACACCCCTCGTATCAAGTGACTTTATGTCATCCTGAGTCCAATTTTACTCTCATTGAACTTTTCCTTCTAATCAGTGAGGTGGACACTGAACACAGAGTATCTTTCCGTAGTTGTGTAAAGTATTCTCAGTAAAACAAGCCGAGAAGGAGGGTGAAGAGTGACTTGGACACGGGGTCAGGGAAGGCCTCCCCCACAGGTAGCCTGTCCACGCCGTGCCTGGGACGCCAGCGAGTAAGTGCAGGGGCCATGAGCAGGGCTGGTCAGCAGAACCTTAGTCTCCGGTCAGTCCGTGCACGTCTCCAACCTGCGTGGTGATAGCGAACCCGCAGGCGGAGTGCTCGGTCAGGGCAGAAAGGCACGTCTCTTGCTCCCTGAGGTGTTTCTAGAGGGCCCAGCCCACAGTAAATACCTAACAAGATTTGTGAAATGTACTAAAAATGAATCTTTATGAATGTGTAGACAAATATGGGAAATAACCTATTTCTGGATTTCTTACAGATTGAACTTTGTTATAAAGGAGTATTTTAGAAAACGAATCAGGAAATACAGAGCAGCCAATAACTATATACACAAATAATATATAAATAAGTCCCGTCATTCCATCCACCCAGAAGTAATCACCGTTAATCCCTTTACGTAAAAATATCGAAAAAACAGGAATTTATAACACTGCATCTCAGATACTGTCCCTAAATGTTTAAAGGCGCTGAACGTTTTAGGTTTCCCTTCATTGTAGAATTAGCAGAATTGCCAACGTATGTGAAAGTGGCGGGTGGGCACACAGTTTCCCCAAGAGGGTTGTTCGTCCTGGTCACCCAGCGGGCCAGCGGCTTGCCCAGCCTTCTTGAGCAGCCCCGTTCGGAGAAGGGGCATCTCCCCTCTGCCCCCACGGTCACGCCTGGGCACCATGTTGCGGGCCCACCTACCACTTGGAGGAGGGCTCCCTGGTCTTTGGGGGGCAGGTTGGTATGACTGCGGAATGAAATGTGCCTGATTCGTGAGACTTTAATGTTACGTGGAGATAAGTTAGGGGCTGGTTTTTACTATACGAGAATGGTTTTCATTGATGTCGCTCTGAATCTGCCATCATCCTCCCGACTTCATACAGTCTGACACCAAGCACCATCCTCCACCGTAGAGTCTTTGGTGCTCTTACTTTCTGGTACCATGACCCACGCTGTTCTCGGCCAGAAGTGGACTTGCCGTCTTCCCAGGGCAAAATCCTGCGTCTCTTTCCAGGTCCAAGTCCTTGGGCTACAAGTATTTTCCTTGCTCTGAATTCCGCTGGCATTCATCCCTCCTGCTTAATGCTTTCTGCCGCTGCTTGTCATTGTCCCTCTGGAGGCTTGTGAGCCTCCGCTTGGTGACAGACTACCCAGGACAGGGCCTCACGTGGCTGCCCATGGCTGAGTCCACCTTGTGAAAGTACCACAATTTGATTCTGTTAGCTGCAGATACAATTCACTTCGGGGAAACCAGGCAATTTTTTGTTACGAGGCCAGCCTCCTGTGTGAAGTTAAGTCCATGGCAGCAACTAATCTCCACCAAGTCAGGGCTGTGGCATCACTTGTAGCTCTCTCCTGCTGGTGAGAAGCAAGGGTTTGCTGCCCACTGTTAGCTCCAGTAGCCAGTCCAGGGCCTACACTTAAGGAAAAAGACATTGACCCTGAAAACAGAAGTGTTCTCTGGTTGAATCTCCTGCAGCGCATGGGGGTGAGGTAGCTGTTTTCGGAGGGAAGAGTCTGAGTTCAGAGCAGAGGCCAGGTTCCTCTGGACGGAGCGGGGAGGTGGAGGCAGAACCTTTGCTGCTTCTGAACACAGTCTAAGCAGAGTTGACCACACACAGCAGAAGAGCCAGTCTGGTTTTCAGCAGTTTCCTTCTCTCTAGATTTTAAGTCACACCTGCTGTTTTGTACAACCTAAATTGGGCGACCGGAAGATGCATGTCTCTGTGGGTGGGAGGCTGTACGGCGTCCGGCCAGTGATGTGTGGGTGGGCAGCGTGCCGGAAGGTGTCCTGACGGCTCAGACAGTGACGGCTGCTTGCTTGTGCTGCTGCCTGAAACCCTGGTGTAGAGAAAATCCTGAAAATTGACAAATGTAGCATTATCAAATATGCAAGTGGGCAGGTATAAGAATCTAAATTGAGACCGTCATAAAAATAGGAAATTGGGACAGTCATAATTTCTGTGCTGCTGTTGATTCAGCTGTTCGATCTCAGAAACGAGTGATTTATTCACCCACTTACCGTTCTGAAGCAGGAACTGCCACATTAATTATTTCAACACAGCCCTCTTGAGGTCGATGTCACAGCTCTGTGGCAGAAGAATGGGCTCATAAAATTAAGTGTGGCTGACTTGAATTTTACATGAAATATTGGTCTATTGGAGACTCTACACGAGGAAGAAATGTAGAGGTAGGGGCCGTGTTTTATACTTAGACATGACACTTCCCAGAATCTTTAACCATAAAAATGACTTTAACACAATTTTTATTTGTTGAATCTCTGACAAAAGTGGACATTAGGTCAAGTTATGACTTCTGAGTTTAATTAACTTTCACGTAGATTTCCCTTCATGCTATTAAGAAGTGTCACAAGCGTATTAACCTCCGTTGACAGAGATACTGCCTACAACCACAATTACCCTTCAGAAGCATAAGCTGGAAGGTCTATGGTTGCATTCAATTCAGAAAGTTAGCTCATTATAACAAAAACGAACGTCCTCCCCATCAGCAAAAGAAAGGGAAAATGAGGTCTTCCCTTTTCCCTTAAGTCAGCTTAGCGCAATCTTTGATCTTTGTTATATTTTAGAAAAATACGATTAATTTACCTGGGGGAAAGCTTAAATCAATAGTAACAGTTATAACCAACCTTAAATCTTAAAACTCAAACAGTGAAAGAGAAATACGGCCCCCCGATAATGAGAAGCGAAGTCGTTGGTCATTGGAGAGAAAGAAACCAGGAAACTCAGAGGCAGATGGAAATCTTAGGAAATTCTCAAGAAAATCTCTAGTTACGACACTTTGGTTAGTTAGAGCTCCCCATTCCTTTCCCCCTCTGCTTTTGGGTGGAGGGGAGAGTACCGGTGCCCCCAGGAGTGCCTGCAGCGCGCGCACCTCCAGCTGGGCCGCCCAGTCAGCTGGTGTAGAGTAACGGCGGTGTCACGGCCCTGCGTCTCGGGACCAGAAACTGGTCGATGTTCGGATTCGTGTTCGGATTTGCAAGTGGCAGAAAGCTTCCTTGGCAACTTATACGTAAAGGGATTTCTGGAGACGCCGCGGGTCGCTCTTGGAGGCGGCGGGGGAGCCGGAGGCCCAGTTCAGGGCGCGATGCCGGGAGGACACGAGTGTGGCTGAGCTGCGCCCCCCCCCCCCCCCCCGCTGTCCAGCCCAGACTCCGCTCGGGCCACGGTGCAGACGCTGCTGCAGCGGGAGCCCCCACGCGTGCTGGCGCCCCTGGTGGGTGCGGGCGGCTGGTGGGGGTCAGGACAGCAGGACGGCGGTGCTGGCTCCAGTTACAGCACAGGGACAGGGCTCTGTGGCTGACACAGCTCCGCAGGGGCATCCCCCACATAGGGTTCAGGTGCTGGGTGCCCCTGAAGGGATGGCCGACGGCGACTTCAGGCCATCACCTGGCTCCCAAACCAACACATACCCTTCATCCCGTTCTGACAGCCTCTC